GGGGGGGGGGGGGGAAAGCAGTTAGGGGTGAACACAAAACCGGGTGCTCTGCTGCATGTGTCTGTGTGACAGCAGTGCCACAGGGCAGAGCCACCAGCCTGGGCCACCCCAGAGGGGCTGAACATCTGCCCCAGGGGAAGGAGCTGCAGGGCAACAGGACCAGGGTGGGGCGACCTCCCGGCCGCAGGCAAATCAATCTGCAGCAGGCCCGGGTGCTGCAGCCCGTGGCTCCACAGGATGCGCGAGCGTGGCAAGCCCTGCCCTAGCACGGTGATGGTCCGGCACTGCCACTGGGAACAGTCCCCCAAGCCCACGGTGGCTCTCAACCCCGGAGGAGAGGGAAACCCGCAGCCTGGGAAGCTCGTCTCACCCTGAGGGCTTTGGCTCAGAGACGCCAGCGCAGGGCCCAGTTCTCCCACTCTGACTCCCGGCCAGAACGTGTTTATGTAGCTCCTTCCCCCAGAGCCCCGCCGGGGACCCCGGCTCCTGCTCCAGGGAGCAGGGAGGGAGGCAGAGCCAGGCAGAGCCAGGCAGCGGGCACCACGCTCCCACGAGGTGCCAGGGGCTGGCACGGAGCAGAGCTGCACGCGCCCAGGGGACTCCCACGTCCTTGGTGCGGAGAGCCGCGGCTTTGTCACCTCCCTCCCTCCCTCGGCCCCTCTCGAGCGCTGATGACAGGTGATGGAGGCCCATGCAGGGTGAGGAGCTCGCAGAGAGCAGAGAAGCATTACCTCGATGCACCCCCACAGAGTCCTGGCCTCCGCTCCCAGCCCTGGGAGCAGCCCTGGGGAAGGGCAGTGCCCGACGCTCTGTCCTACCTGGTCGGCGGCGGGTCTCTTCTCGCCGTTGGCACCCTGCAGGAGCCCCGCCTCTTCGGAAAGTTTATCTGACTTAACTTCAACTACAATCTTGTCTTTACGAGCCTCTGGCTTTGTGCTAGGGGAGGGAGGTGACAACTTTGAGACACTTTTGCCATACCAAAGAGGGCACATGGAAGGTTGAGTGAGGCCCCATCAAGGGATGCTCTGGAGCGGGGCTGGGGCAGAGAAAGGTCGAGGGTGGAAGAGGCTCTGGCTCACAGAACGCTTTGGGCTACCCAGCCCTTCCCCGGGGAGGGGGTTGCTTGGCTGATCTACCACTCTTGCTGTCCTCGTCCTCACCTCCCTGCGCAGACGGGGTGAGCAGTGCAGACCCCAGGCTGTGGGAAGCTGGAAGCGCTGCTGAGCCCCCAGCGCGGTGCCCCCGAGGCTGCGCTACCACCTCCCCCCGCACCGGGCAGGGAGCGGCTGGTGCAATGGGATGGGAAGCAGGAGTGATGGCAAGCACCTCTGGCCCCGCGGGCTCCCCGGGAGGGCAGGCAGCAGCGCTTACATGTCCTGTTTGCCAGCGCGGCCGCAGGGGATCTTGCCCTTCTTGTGCAGGAAGTAGATGACAGAGCCCAGCACAGCCACCACGAGGATGCAGACGATGATGGCCACGATGATCACCCCTTTGCTCTCTGGGGTCTTTTGATCTAAACGCAACAGGAGAGGAAGAAGTTAAAATCACGGTCCCACCCTGATGCTCTTCAGCTTCCGCGTCACTGCACGCCCTTGGAGATCAGGAAGGGACCCCTTTCCCCAGGAAGGCACCACGGGGACTCCTCCAGCTCCCTGCAGGATGCAGGTGTCAGTACAAAACCGCTCCATTACGGTGGTTTCTGCACGATTACACTTTGCATTCTGCTCTCGGCTGCCATGCTCCTGCATGCCTTAGGAGGATGGCTTACAGGGTGTCCTGAAAGACATCAGGCCATTCCTTCGCTTCCTCGCCCAGCAGCCCTGGGCTGCGGGAAGCTGCACTCGGTGGCCTCGCTGGGCTACAAGGCGGAGGACAAGCAGGCAGCTCCCACCCCGCTGCGGGAAACGGGTGGAGGACAGAGCCTCCGCTCCCCCCGCGGCTTGGCAGGGAGCGGAGCGGCAAGGGATGCAGTGCAAGGGCCAGCAGTCAGGGCTCCCTCCCCAGGCCAGAGGTGAGCGTGAGTCCCATCCGTGGCATGCTTGGCCAGAGCCGGGGCTGACGGGCACACGCACCCAGCGTGGTGCTGGGACTGACCTTTCCTGACGGACTCCGCTGGTAGAGCAGGAAGGGAGGGAAAGAGACAGCTGAGGCCCGCCATGGCCGCACGGCACACGGGGCCTGTGCCGGGGGGACTAAATACTTCTCTCGGTTCCTGGGACAGAAGGCAGCGCCCGGGACTCACCCAGCAGCTGGATGTGCTTCTCGCTGGCACCCAGTGTGTTGGAGACCCTGCACATGGCTCCTGCCCGCAGCAGGTCGTGGTTCACGCGCACTGTCAGGTTGCTGGCGATGTGCTGATTTTCAACATACTCGTGAGCCTGCGAGGGGGGGAAGGCAGCAAAGAATTCAGCGCACAGACCCTCTGAGAGACCACGGCCTGGCCTCAGCACCCTCCCCAGCTCTCACCGTTCCGTTGACATTCCAGTGCAGAGAGGGCCTGGGGAAAGCAATGGCCTTGCAGGTCAGGTTCACCACCTCATCCTGCCGCACGTACAGCGGGGAGCTGATGGCGACGATCCGTGGCTTCCCTGTGGGGAGGCACATCAAGCACCCGTGGCTCTCAGGGGGGACCAGGGCCGATGCTGGGTGCAACGGGGCTCGCTCTGGCAGAGCAGCACATCTGCACACACCCCGGTTCTTACCCTGAACGGCCACGGCCACCTCCTTGCTCTGCTCCAGCCCCGGCACACTTGGTGCCATCACCTTGCAGCTGAAGTTGCTGGCGGTTTCGAAGGTGAGGTTGCTCAGGAAGAGCTGGTTCCCTTCCGCAACCTTCTTGCCCTGTTGGGAAGGGATGCCCCCGGGCAATGAGCCCCGAGCACCAGGCCCTGCGGCTCCCCAGGCTCTGCAGCTGTCCCAAAGAGGCTCAGCCCCCCTCGTACACACAGCGAGGGAGCCTGCAAGCACAGAACCTCCCTGCAGTGCTGGCCGGGAGGTGAGGATGGACAGTGCAGGCCCATGGAAGGGGGACTCCTACCCCCGGCCTCCCAGGAGAGATGCAGCAAGCTCCTGGCTCTGAGTGCGACAGTACCCGAACGCCTGCTCACCTTCTCATCCCTCCACTGGTAGTCCAGGGCCACGGGACTATGGGCGTCACAGCTCAGCCTCACGCTATCCCCTTCCCGAAGGGGTGAGGATGGCTCCATCTTCACATGGACCCCTTCGATGTCTAAGAGAGGGATGGAGACCAGGGCAGGGTGAGCAGGAGGGATGAAGCACCCACCACGACGCCCACAGGATCCCGTCCCCCTGCCTTACAGTTCACAACAAGCTCCACATCCTTCTCTAGCTGTCTCATATCATCCAAGTCCAGGGTCTGGCATCTGTACAGGCCACTGCTGCTCTTCCTGACATCGTGCAGGTTCAGCACCCCACTGTTGGAGTCTGCCAGCGAGGACAGGTCCTGCCAGCTGTCATTCATCTACGAGCAGCGGGGAGAAAGCAGAGCCCTTAGCCCCACACAGGCACCCTCCACCCCAGCTGCTGCATCCCACCCCGCAGAGCCCTCTGGGCAGGGCACAAGGAGCCACCAGGACATGAGATGTCTGCCAAGGGAGAGGTGCCCAGGTCCCCTCTGGCCTCACCTCTCTCTTATAAAAGCTGAAAACGGGCGCTGGGTTCCCGTCGGCCTCGCAGACCAGCTTCACGTTGTCCCCTTCCTTCACCAGGGTGGAGGACGGCATGACCTGCAGCTTCACGTGCTGCGCGGGGTCTGGGGACGGAGGGAGTGCGGAGGGTTGGTGCAGAGCCCCGCCACGCGGCACCAGGCACGGTCCCAAGCCCCCGACTCACAGAAAACGGTGACGTTGACTCGCCGCGACTCCACGGCACGCCTCTGTCCCCGCAGCCAGTAGTGCACGGTGCAGTGGTAGAGGGAGCTGCGGTCCTCCCGGGTGACACGGGCAAAGAGGGTGCTGCCCACTGTGTACAGCCCACTCGACTCGCGGGTCACCGTGGCCAGGATCTTCACCTCTACAGGGGACACAGCCACTGTTCCCAGCCCGCGGGAGGGCACAGGGCTCCCGTGGGGGCACAGTGCTCTGGGTGGGCACGGGCTGCCAGTCCCCAGGCAGCGAGGCCCTGGATAGCACAGGTGCCCCGGCCCCTCTCCCGAGCAGGCAGCTGTGGTTCCCTAACCCCATCGCCACCCCACTTACTCTTCTCCTCCGGCTGCAGCTGCTCCCCGTTCTTGTACCATGTGACGTTGGGGAGCGGGAAGCTGTTCCTGCTCACGCACTGGGCGATCTGCAGCGGCAGAGAGCGCCTTGAGCACGGGGTGCCCCCAAGGGGAGAGGGGAGCCTGCGTGGCTGGGAGCCTCCCCCTCCTCACGTGGGGCCTCTCCTCACCTGCGGGATCACGCTGCTCTGCACGGAGACGCCTCCTGAGATGGCTGTGATCTCGGGGGCCTCGGGGACCTCTGGAAAGAGAAGCCACCCCACGTGTATTAGGAGGGATGGGATGGGATGGGGTGGGATGGGGTGGGATCCCCCTCCAGCCCCACAGAGCAGAGGTGTCACCGTGCTGCCCTCCCGCCCCGTCACTCACTGTAGACGCGGAGCTCAGTGCGGTTCTCGCCCGTGCCGTGGCTGCCGGCCTCAACCTGGCAAATGAAGGTCCTGGCGTCCTGCATCGTCACCCTGCTGATGGAGAGGGCGTTGTCCTCCCCCACCCTCAGACGCCCCCTGTAGTCCGTGTTCTCCTCCAGGATCTCGCTGCCCACGACGCGGCACAGCTGCACCCGGTTGCTGTGTTCGATCTGCAAGGTGAGGGCCCGAGACTGGGCTGACTGGGAGCCCGGGGGGAA